AAGTGTTTGACACATCATTTACATCTGTAACACAATGTGTGGAAACAGCAAAACACACAAAATGTTAGGATACAATTTACATCAACGAATTTTATGTTAAATTTGTGTAATACTGTATACTAGTAAGTACTCATCTAGAGTATTGTGTAAAATTTTGTTCATCGTGTTACAAAAAAGATATTTCTGCCCTGGAATCAGTCCAGAAAAGCGCAACCAGATACTGTATGTTCTGGCACTAAAGTGAATGCCCTACATTGGCAGCTTTAAAGGACTGAATCGTTTTAGTCTTGAGTAGACTGAACAGACTATGAGGGGATTTGATCCAAATATTCAAAATCCTTACAATTTCAACCCAGTGGACTTCTTCCGAATAAACAGTGAAATACAAACCAGAGGGCACAAGTCAAAACTATGTGGAAGTGCATGTAAAACTTGAGAACAAGAGGCATTTGTTTGTATTATGGGAGTATGGAACAGTCTGCCCAGTAATGTTGTTGAAACCGATATCCTGGGTTCTTTCAAAAAAGGATGAATGAGACTCTGGATTAATTAATTACTAACTACCAAATGGGGTAGATGGGCCAGATAGTCTCTTCCTCATAGCTATTCTTTTGGGCCTAGTGTGTCTAGAGATTTTCACACCACTTGGCCTTTAATAACATGAATCATTTTGTTTTTTTGTTTAATTGGATTAATTTGCCAATTTCTCTTAGGTTTTTGCAGCAGTAACAGTATCAGTGCAGAAACCTATAAGGCCTACAGAAACACTGGCACCCCAAGATCACGATTGGGGACCCCTGCCATAAAAAAGTACATGTATATTTGGGAGACTGTATTAGCTCTTGAAAAGTAACTGCACCATTGAGTAACAAAAAGTACTAGTTTCATATATTAATTGTAAGTAGCACATTGAAAGATGTTCATAGCTTGAACGAAAAGTGTAAATAAGCTGCAATCGCGAGACCTTGTGCGACTTCATAACGTGAAGTTAAATAAATCTACTGTTTTCAATGCATTGTATTACTACTTAAAGTATGAACGAGCTGCATAATGCATGCATTTTAACTTTTTCGTCATAATATCAGTGTCAGAAATACTACTGCATTGATGCATCTGAACCATTAAAACCGACAGTCACAAGATGGATTACTACAGAGACAAATGTCAGGATTTCGGGTAAAACACATTGATCTGACGAAATTAAAAGTTTTATGGAACGCGCTACTCTTTTGCCATCGATGGGATTAATAACTAGTTAATAATTTTAATCTAATAATACTATTACTGTTACTAAGTGTTTTTCCCTCCTTACATTCTTAGCTGTACATATACACGATTGTTAACGGTCAGGAACGTGACAAGTAAAAACTCGGATAAAGACATGTAATAGCTACTTTATACAAGTCCACACATAGCGTACAATGTTTATGAAGTAGAGCCCTCAGTTTGAAAACTACTTCTGACTGTGACAGGCGGGTATTCAGTCAAGACCATACGATTTTCTTTAAAAAAACAATTCCGTTTCTAAATTCTCAAACAATCTGAGCAAAATATACGTCGTTTTGTCCTTGGACAAAATTGCTCCACGTTAACGGGTGGTTGAATATTTTTTACCATAATATGGATGGAACAAGTCCAGTGATAATCGACCATTTCTATTTATAAGAGTTCATTTTTCAGAGGTTCTTCCTTGTACTGCAAGACGTTGGACCCCCAGTACGAATATGGCGTATTGATACGTCGCACTGTCTTTTTAATTACGAAATAACATTTTTCCTATATAAACGGATACTTAATTTGTACGAAAATATAACTACACCTATAGTACATAAAAATACAGCACTTCTATTAGTGCTGTATATGGATTGCACTCGGAAAATGTGACTGCAGCCCTGCATTTGAAATTAGTTTGTTTTCAGAACCTGTATGTTGCCTGTCAGTGTTGGTGGCTGCGAATCTGAAAAGGGCTGTCCCGTAAATCTGTTGAAACATTGTTCACTATCTTGAGGGTGACTGACCACTACTGTACCTTCAAAGTTTGAAGTACGGGACATTTTTTCTTAGTGTCTTATGTCTTGTGTTCTTATTCTAGTGTTCCCCTCTGGGTGGCGCCACTGCTCTTTACTGCATCAGCTCTGAAGACTGACAGACAGAGGCGAAGAAAGGCATACAAACTAATCAGTCTCACACTGGTCAGTAGTACCACACATTTAATCTCTCCATCCAGTCTGACTAAAATCAGTAAACACAGTGGGTCAGTATTAAAATTTGACTATCAAACTGCATTAGTCTATCCTAGCTAGGCTTATAGGCAGTGTGTTTGTATTGATTCCCTCTTTATCTCTGTGCAGTTTAATCTTGGACACATTTTCCCCCAGGCTTTTATCAATCATGGCCCACCTTATAATCTCCATCCATTAATTGGCTTCATTACTCTATTCTCCTGCCCAACTGATAACTAATGTGTGATGAGTGTGCTGGCACACTTTGGCTGCTGTCGCATCATCCAGCTGGTGCTACAGAGGGGTGGAGGGGAGTCCCCATTACCTCTAAAGCACTTTGAGTGGAGTGTCCAGAAAAGCACTATATAAGTATAATGAATTGTTATTAATTATTAATAATATACTGTAGTGTCCTGTCAGTGATTCTGTGTTAATCACCTCTCGTTCTCAGTGCA